CCCAATTTGGTCTGGGCCCAAGGTGGGCTTAATAGCCGGCGACTACTGTATCAAACTTTACCGAGTTTATTAATTGGTCAGAGTTTTCGATAAAGCCAATTAGTCTGAATTACACAACACATACAACTGGTGCAGACTTTCCCGAGCTAGGTCGTAGCGAATAAACGCAAAATTGCCACGCCACAGTGTGGAAACTGATCTTAGATTACGCTCCAGACCTACCAAGTTGCAAGGGAAGACCAGTAATCGTTTCTATTTGAAAATAGTTTTGGGAGATTTCGGTTACGTATGCTCGCCAACTACCCTTCAGAACAACTTTAAAAAGGTCCAAAGATTTCGGTAATTTTTTCATCGGTTCTGGCGTGTAACGATCGATTTGAACGTGCTTGAGGCATTTACGGGAGTATGTTGAACCATAATACAAAGGCAAAACAGGTCCTCTAATGCAATAAGATCTCAGCAATGAGATAAGAAACCGAAGACGTACATACCAACGCTTCCTGGATTGACTATATCAGGAAAAGCAAGTCAATTCATGATGAAAGCAAATTTAATGAAGAAACGCTTTTAAATGGCACCACTGCTAGGTCAGAAAGAAGGGAGAAGAAATATTCGCCAAAGGCCAAAGTCAGATACTTTTCATGACGAAATTAGCTTGAGAACGGCAAAGAAACGAGGGGACCTCGGATATCTATCTCTAAACCTGAAATAGCAGGCCTAATTCCGCAAATCATCGAATCCTAAATTTCTGTAGTTAAATTAGTTGCCCTTTTTCCTAAAAGGATTACCCTACCAAATTACATAGCACGAGGAAAATAAGGGAAGCCAGAGGTCGGCTTTCCCTCAGCTGAGCTGCGGCCTTACCTGCTTGGTTCACAATGGCAAACTGGGGCTGTCCATCTTCGCCCTGGATCAGGACCAGGGTCTGGCCAGCCTCTAAATGCAGATCCTCGGGCAGCACTAGACGCTGGATGACGTCGCCGCCGGGCGTTGTGAAGTCGATGGTCGCCCCCTCTGGCAGTTGGCCATCCTCGGTGTTCAGCACCATTGGAATGCCGTTTGCACTGGCATACTGAGCGACGAGGCCTTCGTTGGCAGTGCCTTCGGGCAGGGGCTCGCTGAGATAGAGCTGTGTATTTGCCATCTGGGCGTTGTCTTCAATCAGCGACAACCCACCACCCGTGGTGTAGAGCATGGCTGCTGTCTGCTGAAGGGCAAAATAAATTGTCAAGTGCAGATGCCGAGCAGAAAAAAGTGGGGTGGGGCGGGGGATTTCGATATACGCGTTCTTCCAGCAAGAGGCGGTAGAACCTGTAGAAGGCAGGGCTTGGTAATAAACGTCTACCTCTTTTCAAATACTAGTTTGAGACAAGTAAAAGAGAAGTTGACCAGCTGGAACACAATCCTACAGACGTCTGTCCTTATTCCAGGCTGTGCGCTTGGTTGTCTGATTAAAATATCCGAAACACTGTTGAACTTCTGAGGGCAGGATAAAAATGGTAGTTTGACGGGTTGCCAACTGATAGACAATGCGGGTCTTCGGGACTGAAGGTTAGGTAGGGACTGCTCCTCCTAATGTGATCTTATGACTTCGAGCAGCGTAACGAAAGGCAAGTTATCAGGGCATGGTTCGTGCAAAACGAGAAACAAGCATGCAATTGACCCATGCAGACGAAGCCCATTCTCGGCCACGGTTAGGTTAGACTGAATAACAAAAGATAGGGCAGACTAGAACGGCAAGTTCTGACCTATTAGCTGTCATCAGCCAGCCAGTCTTAACCCCAGGTCTTGTAACCCCTGAGGCTCAAACCCACCACGTTCTGGTTAGAAGTCCAACTTCTCAACCACTGAGCCATGGGCTCGTTGTCCTGTGGGATGCGACCGAGTATATTAACAATGACAGTTGGTCGCCTAGCAATCGCGCTACGGTACATATTCACCCGGTTGTGCTTTTGAACTGTTTTTTTTTCTCTCTCTCTCGAGCCCTGCCAGCAGTCACACAGCGGTTAGTATTGTAGGCAAAATAACATTCCCGGTAAAGGCGGTCGGTGAGTGCCGCACTACCACATTCACCTCACTTCGTCCTTGGGAAATTATAGGTGTCAGGGGAGTGAGATAAGTGCTCGGGTTTGAAACGGAGAAAATCCTCCCAGACCAAAGTGTAAAGGCCCCATTTTTGAAAAAAAGGGGATTTGTGAACTAGTGCATTGACAGAGGCGTCGCATGCACTGAAATTCAGGGTGGATGGGGTACCTGCTGTTGCAGGAGCAACTGCTCCTCAGCTTGACGTCGGGCGGTCACAATTTCTGGGTCGGGATGCAGAGTCGCGCCTTCAGCGCCGCAATCCTCCACCAGATGTCGAGCCAGCGTGTTTCCGTCAACACCAGCGA